CTGAGGAACCATCGAGCCAGACCCCAAAGCCAGCATAGAGAGGTTCAGTGAATGTGGCTCTGAAGGTGTGGAGGTGGATCAGTGAGTCAGAGGAGACTCTGTAGAAGGAGAGAGAGCCAGCAGGATGATCCAGATACACTGCTACTCTACCAGAGGAGGAGGGCGGGAGGAGGAGGAGGAGGAGGAGGAGGAGGAGGAGGAGGAGGAGGAGGAGGAGGAGGAGGAGGAGGAGGAGAGGAGGAGGAGGAGGAGGAGGAGGAGGAGGAGGAGGAGGAGGAGGAGGAGGAGGAGGAGGAGGAGGAGGAGGAGGAGGAGGAGGAGGAGGAGGAGGAGGAGGAGGAGGAGGAGGAGGAGGAGGAGGAGGAGGAGGAGGAGGAGGAGGAGGAGGAGGAGGAGGAGGAGGAGGAGGAGGAGGAGGAGGAGGAGGAGGAGGAGGAGGAGGAGGAGGAGGAGGAGGAGGAGGAGGAGGAGGAGGAGGAGGAGGAGGAGGAGGAGAGGAGGAGGAGGAGATGTGTGTTCCTCTGTCATTGTGCCTGACATAGTAACGACCATCAGAGCAGATCAGACTCCAGGACTGATCATTCCCTCCAAACACACAGTCCTCACCGCCTCCTCTCCTGCTGATTCCTCTTGAAGTCATTGGGTTAGGTAGGGTTAGGGTTAGGGTAATGTTGTGAATGGAGTGGCCCGTGGTGGGGTTATGGTATGGGCAGGCGTATGTAATGGACGACGAACACAGGCCACTCGATTCACAACATTACCCTTACCCTAACCCTACCCCAACCCCTATCCCTCACACCAGATACTGACTGGTTTTCGGACCCCCCCAGACCCCCCCCAATAAAGCAAAAATGCACGTTTCAGAGTGGCCTTTTATTGTGGCCAGCCTAAGGCACACCTGTGCAATAATCATGCTGTCTAATCAGCATCTTGATATGCCACACCTGTGAGGTGGGATGGATTATCTCGGCAAAGGAGAAGTGCTCACTATCACAGATCTTTTCATATTTGAGAACAATATTTGAGAGAAATGGTTATTTTGTGTTTATAGAACATGTTTTAGATCTTTGAGTTCATCTCATGAAGAACGGGAGCAAAAACAAATGTGTTGCGTTTATATTTTTGTTCAGTGTAGTATTTTAAAGTATCAACAATATAATAATCAGACCCTGCAATAGAATAAATCATGTTTCCCTTTAGTTTTTCAAGTAACTCAACTCTAACTCACTCACTCAGCGTCATCAAGGTTATCTTTCAGGAATATGAGCATGTCCACATTTCCAGGTAGAAGCTGGGATGTTTGGGCGTTTGCAAAATCCCCTGCTGTGGAACAAACTCTCTTGCTTGGTACTGATGTTGCTGGGACGGAGAGATATGCTTTAGCCATGGGTGACAGTAGTGGGTCAAACTGTGCATCGTCTCTCCACCACTTCAAAAACAATACAGTTGTTGCCAAGAAGGTGAGGCTTATTGACAGAGATATACATATACTGTTGGTACTTGTCAATGTCTCTAGGTGTGTACATGTAGCACTGTAAATACCATGTCCTTTTGTGTTATCTGTTGTTTTATGTTCATGTTGTAACCTACTTGCTGCCATGTTGGACAGGTCTCCCTTGAAAAAGAGATCGAGGATCTCAATGGGACCCTCTGGTTAAATAAAGGTTTAAAAAAAAAAAAAGATTATTTAAATTCTTTTTTTGAAATCGCAGTAGATTTTGTCAGTCTCACGAGACATTTATTTACCGCGATATTCGATATATCGTTACATCCCTATTAAATACTGATAACAACAGACCTGAATGTAAACCTATTGAGAGATGACCTGTGCTAAAAGCTCTCCAGTGAAACCAGGTCAGAGTCCGTGTTTGAAGGTGGCTGTATCTTAGCCCTTCACACTTCATCCATGCACTTAACTTCAGAGTGTTAAAGGGTGTTAATGAGTGTTCTCCAGTGCCTTTTGTCCGCTTTAAGGTGTTATTAAGGTTAATGTTGCTTCAAAGTGCACCAGATTGATGCGTTCAACTTCAATATTTAAAAAAAAATCTTCCCGGGGGAGCATGCCCCCGGACCCCCCAAGAGGAGGCGAGGAACCCCCTAAAGGATGTTCGGTCCACCCCCCACTTATAAAAAAAATAGCACTGTACCTTTAACTCTTTTTAGGGTGCAGCTATATGTTTTATTTATTTCAAAATGGGCCCATTTTAATAATGTTTTTTTTCCTTCAAATGTGCAGAGGACTCCCCAAGTGCTGTGTTTAATTTATTTTAAAGTAGGCCTGTGTATTATTTGTAATTCTCCTTATAAGAGTTATTTGTTTCTTATTAGAGGTTAACAGTTTTATATTATGTAATAAATAGCCTAATAAATGCAAAAAAACTGTAGTTTTTGTCTGATATAACAATAACAAACTATGAAATATGTTTTGCGGCTCCAGACAAACAAATGTTTTGGAAAAAGGAGCAATATGGCTCTTTTGGTCAAAAAGGTTGCAGACCCCTGGTTTAGGGGATAGGAAACACTCACATTTAAAACATATAATTAATAAATGGGTGAAAATTGCTTGTGCCCATAATGGGCAGCATTAATATATACCCACATGACAGCTAAGGTCAGAAGAGCTTGATTTAACAGCTGGTCTTATGTCTGTGACCCCTCCTGTTGTTCATTGATGAGCCTGAAACATGCACTTGTCAAGGTTCAGAGGCACATTTTGCAAATATGGCAGTAGCCATCGCTTAAGATAAGATATACTTTATTGATCCCAAGTTGGAACATTTGCGTTACATCAGCATGTGTAACAGTTGTAAATATGCAGTGGTGTTTATTTGTAAATCATTTAGTATAATCACACAAATTCTGTGTTTTATATTCAACAATTCTGTGTTCTTTATTTATTGATTGTTCAATACCTGACAAGGCCGGAGATGAAATATCTACATACATCTTATAAGAGTATAATGTATAATATCAGTTCAAATAAGTGCTTCAACATAGTTAACATTGCTGGAGGTATGCACATATTGATAGATGTCTTGTAATGCGCTATTGAGGAACCTGCGACCCAAGTTTTTCATTCAATGCAGAACTACACCATAGTTGTGTAGGCCTATATGATATGTCAATAAACCTTAGAAAATCTTGAAATCTTGAAAGGGATGTGCAAAATAGTCATTATATACAGTCTTTAATTAACTATTAGTAGAGAATAACGAGTAATTAATATACTTTATAGGGATCCTATTAATATCTAATAATAAAAATAATGAAATTCAATGACATGCTTTAACCACTAGGTGTCCCTTTATATCAGCTGTGCACCTTTATGGTGTAAATACAGCCTATCTACCAATTGGATCAAATATAAAAGTCAGCCGAATTAGTGTTGATACTGCAAGGAGACGTATTGTGTGAAAAGAAATGTAAGATGTTGTTTAATGGCTGATATATTTATGATCCACGTCACATTTTCAGTTCCTCATGTTTGTCTAGAAGTCTTCTCATCAGGGCTATATAAATACAGAACTACGGCAGATATGTAATATTTAATGCAGCTGAACCGTGTATTACAATGCCGTTATGTGATGACTTTCAAAGAGAAAAGCAAGCACACTCGGAATAAAGTATTTTATTTTTTTAAATGTTTTCGGTCTGTTTCCGGTATTTGTTAATGACGATGTGCTGTGAGATGTGAGACTGGAATTGCACAGGGGAAAATAACGGATTTTGTTAAACTAATACGTTTGCGCTGTGGACCAACACTATACATTGACGGGGAAGGGGGTAGCAATAAAGATAAAACCATTAAACAGTTACACAACATAACATAAATTATATCGATAGCAGCGTCCCTAGCAACCACCTTGGTAACAATGAAAACGTTATGGACGCAATTTCCTGAAGTAATCTTCGTAATAACTAGCAAACTAAAGATCATGTGCATCCACTGCACACATAATCTGAAATAACAACTCATATTTCTCGCATCAAATGACATCAAAACGCATTTTAATGGCCAAACTAACTTTAAAATAGGCATTTTCCACCGAGAATAAAACGAAGTTCGGCCTTTTTTTTTTTCTGCAGGGAGAAATGTGAAGATCACGTGACATAGACGCCGGCCATTGGAATGAATGGAATGCAGTTGGAGGTCAACCAATCACAGAGCTTGAGAACTAATCACGGGGTTTGTCAAACAGAGCACATGGTGTAGTCCAAACGATAGCTGGGGATTCTGGGTAGTGTAGTGTCTTCTGCCATCCTTTAATCCGAAAAAATAGTTGTTTCTCCGAATCGAAGGGGAAAAATACAAAAGCATTGCACACAATTTAAACCAATCAATGTTGTTTAATTAACAAGGATAATCTGGTGTTTTTTAGTCGATGAGTAGTGCAGATATCACTGTGAAATCAATCGACAGTAAGGGGAATACTTACTTCCGGGTGTACAATTCTCCGTTATCCAATGGGAATGGACGCTCACATTGCCTTTAAGGGCAGCCGACACAAACGAATGCCGTGCTTCCATGAGCGTCAAATACCGCCGCAGATGGGAATACATTGCAATCAGTTGAAAGCTATTTGCGTCCCTTTATGACGCTGAAGGAGCCTAGGAGCGTCACAACTGGACGCCACGGGACCCTGACCAAGCGTCGCTCCTGGACGATTATGGAGTGAGAGTGTGTTGGTGTGGAGTCTCTTTTCCACGGTCACGACTTCGAGAGGAAGCTGCAGCTTCTCTCTCCCCAACTACCTTCTGTTTGTTTTATTACCGTGCCACTTAATTAAAGTACCCATTTGAACCTTCTCAGAGACTACATTGGTCTCCTTATTTGAAGTTTCTCTCCTTGACGCGAGGACAAGGAATATCCTAATATAACCAAATCAGGTTGGTTCCCTGTGTGAGGCACTGTTGGGCCAATAGCCTGCATTATTATATCAAACAGTCAACTCCATGAAGTTCAGGAATACAAAGATCATATTTGTCACATTAATGTGGTCTTTTCTTTTCTGTAAACCTTTATTAAATTCAGTTACATGACATTACATTGCATTTAGCTGATGCTTTTATCCAAAGCGACTTACAATAAGTACATATTCAGTTACAATCGGCAAACACATTAGCAGCTACATGTTGCTCAAAGTAAACTTTCTTATTTCATACTTCACTTCACCATTTTGAGGAATAAAATAACGCTCTTGACTAAAAAGGCACAAACACTGAGCCAAATGTTAACTATAGTGAAGCCTCGTACACCACCAACGTTTAAACCCCAGGACAGGAAGTGGTCTCCTCCTACAGAGGACACAGAGATGCTGAGGAGTGATAGAAACTAGACCCAATCCCAAACCCAAACCCAGCATAGAGAGGTTCAGTGAATGTGGTTCTGAAGGTGTGGAGGTGAATCAGTCTGTCAGAGGAGACTCTGTAGAAGGACAGAGAGCCAGCAGGATGATCCAGATACACTGCTACTCTACCAGAGGAGGAGGAGAGGGAGGAGGAGGAGGAGGAGGGTATTTCTCTGTTATCGTGCCTGACATAGTAACCACGACGAGAGCAGCTCAGACTCCAGGACTGATCATGCTCTCCAAACACACAGTCCTCTCTCTCTCCTTTCCTGCTGCTTCCTCTGTAAGTCACTGATATATGAACCCATCCGCTCCACTCGACCTCCCAGTAACAGAGACCAGTCAGAGCTTCTCTGCACATCAGCTGAGGCCAGCGGTCAAACCTCTCTGGATGATCAGGATATGGCTGTGGCTCCTCCCACACAGATGTCACCGTCCTGTTGTTGTCAGACAGTTTGAGTTCTCTGTGTGCTGTGTTTGAGTCCAGGGTGAGTTCACAGGAATCTGATGAGAGACACAGACAGCAGTTTATCATCAGACTCACCTGAAGGCTTTAAACTCTGTTAGTGGTCTTTTCTATAAAGCTTCAAGATCAGTCATGTTTTAATGAATAAATACATTACATTACATTGCATTTAGCTGACGCTTTTATCCCAAGCGACTTACAATAAGTACATTCGGCCAGAAAGACACAACCTTGAAGAAAACAGAATCATAAAAGTACATCAGGTTTCATAGAGCCAAACATTTCAAGTGCTACTCAACTGGCTTTAGATAAGCCAGTCCTTTATTAGTATAAAAGTGCTTTGTTAATAGTTCTAACGCTCGAAGTGGAGTCGAAAGAGATGAGTTTTCAGTTTGCGCCGGAAGATGTGCAAGCTATCTGCTGTCCTGATGTCAATGGGGAGCTCATTCCACCATCTTGGAGCCAGGACAGCAAACCCACGTGTTTTCGCCGATGGGAACTTGGGTCCCCCTCGCAGCGAGGGCGCAGCGAGTCGTTTGGCTGATGCAGAGCGTAGTGCATGTGCTGGGGTGTACGGTTTAACCATGTCCTGGATGTAGGAAGGGCCAGATCCATTCGCAGCATGGTAAGCAAGTACCAGTGTCTTGAAGTGGATTCTAGCAGTTACCGGAAGCCAGTGAAGGGAGCGGAGGAGCGGAGTGGTGTGGGAGAATTTAGGAAGGTTGAAGACCAGACGAGCCGCTGCATTCTGGATGAGCTGCAGAGGTCGGATGGCACATGCAGGTAGACCAGCCAGGAGGGAGTTGCAGTAGTCTAGGCGTGAGATGACGAGAGCCTGGACCAGAACCTGAGTCGCTTTCTGAGTCAGCTGGGGACGTATCTTCCTGATGTTGTAAAGCGTGTATCTGCAGCAACGGGTTGTAGCAGCTATGTTTGCAGTGAAGGACAGGTTGTTATCTAGGGTCACACCCAGATTCCTTGCAGTCTGAGTCGGGGAAACAACTGAGGTGCCGATGTTGATTGTTAGGTCAAGAGTGGGACAATCTTTTCCCGGGAGGAAGAGCAGCTCAGTCTTGTCAAGGTTGAGCTTGAGGTGATGAGCAGACATCCACTGAGAGATGTCAGCTAGACAAGCAGAGATGCGTGCGACGACCTGGGTCTCTGAGCGGGGGAAGGACAGAATTAATTGGGTGTCGTCAGCGTAGCAGTGGTATGAAAAACCATGCGGGCTAATGACTGATCCGAGCGAGTTTGTGTACAGGGAGAAGAGGAGGGGACCAAGAACAGAGCCCTGAGGGACCCCCGTAGTTAATTGACAAGGGTCGGACTGAGACCCTCTCCAAGTCACCCTGTAGGTACGGTCTTTCAGGTATGAGGTGAGGAGGGAAAGTGCAGAGCCTGAAACTCCAAGTTCTTGGAGAGTGCGAAGGAGGATCTGATGATTCACCGTGTCGAATGCAGCAGACAGGTCCAATAGGATGATGACAGAGGAGAGGGATGCAGTTTTGGCAGTGTGCAGTTCCTCAGAGACAGCAATGAGAGCAGTTTCTGTGGAGTGACCTGCCTTGAAACCAGACTGGTGCGGATCCAGAAGGTTGTTCTGATTGAGATAACAGGAGAGTTGTTTAAAGACAGCGCGTTCAAGTGATTTAGACAGGAACGGGAGGAGAGAGACAGGCCTGGGTGGGAATTTCACGACGGCCACGACGGCCATGACCGTCGTTGCCCCGCACTTTGGCCGTGATGCCCTGTGAAAAAAAATGCAATTCACGGCCAAAGTGGCCTTTGTGCCCCTGTCAAAAGTTCCAGTGTAAACAACGCTAGTGAAGTCATACTAGTGCGCACAGTAGGATAGTCCCGTGTCTGTGGATCAGAGCGATTGCTCTGCTGTGATTGTTCCGTCAGACATGGCTGTAGGGGCCCGACAGCCTCCTCCTCAGCCGCGGGAGCAAGACAAGCACAGGTAAGCAAGTGGTTATAGAAAGTACTATTGATAGGTAATTACCATTGTATTAGCCTATTTAAAGTCGACTCGTTACATTTTGTCATGAAAACTAGCGATAGCTAGCTAGTTTGGATAGCGCTAACGTCTTCCCTTCAAGGGGTCTACATCTAGTGTTGCTTCTACAAGCTAGCAGATAGCTGTCACCTTTGAATCTAGTATTTTTCTTGCTAAGCGGTTTTGATATAATACATGACTGACTTATGTGGTTTATGGCTGAACTTATACGTTTAAGAAACACTATTGCTAATCAGCCATTTGTAAAACGACTGGTGTTGACGTTAGTGCTACACTTTTCAGTCATGTTGATTGACCAGCGTAATTTAACCAAACGGCCTTTGTGCCCTGTCATGTGGCCTTTGTGCCCTTAAAAAAAATGTGAACGGGAAGGCCAAATGGCCTTGCCCCTAAAATGACAAAATTCCAAGCCTGGACAGGCCTGTAGTTTATAACATCAGACGGGTTGAGAGTGGGTTTCTTTAGGAGAGGGTTTACTCTTGCCTCCTTGAGACTGTTTGGAAAGTGACCAGAAGTTAGAGAAGTGTTGATGAAATGGGTGAGAAACGGTAGAATATCAGGAGCGATAGTCTGAAGGAGGTTTGAAGGGATAGGGTCCAGAGGACAGGTGGTAGGGCGGGCAGAGGTAATGAGGGTAGGAACCTCACTTGGAGAGAGAGGGGAAAAGGAGGTAAGTGTGTTGGTGGAAGGAGGGTCTGGTGACCCAGCGGTGAGTAAAGGTGAGTCAGAAAAAGAAGAGCGAATATCATCAACCTTTTTAAAATACCACCTCCATCATCTGTGTCTCTCGAGAGAAGCTGACTGATCCACACTTACACTTCCTCACACCTGGTTTCAACCTCTGCTCTCCACCATGGTCCAGCCTGGAGGAAGAAACACAGTCAGGATGATTTTCTATCCAACAGAGTCCTAGCTGCTGCTCAGCCTGAAGCAGAGCTCAGTCTGTAGAAGAAGACCTTGATTTTTGACTTTTGCAAAAACACTTTTACATATTTAACAAATGTACATCTACTTCAATTCAAGTACTTAATTGTGCAAACAATTGATTCATTTAAAATACTAAATAAAAACAATCTAATACAAAGTGCAATTCTTCGTTAACAACTGAACATACAATGTCTTTATAGCACCAAGGTTGATTAACAGTGTCTGTTTATTAAATTAAGCTCCATCCAGACGGCCTTGGCCTCCTTCTCTGTTCTCCTCTCTCTTTTTCCAGACGGTCATGTTGGCCTCACCTGAGAGGAAGTTTAGGAGCTGCCACTTTTCCATTTCGTTTTTTTTTAGGCAGCCCCCTGATAAAAACGCTCTGAGTTAAAGAGTCTAAATAACAATGTTAAAAGAGAATTGTAACTTGTGAGTCTCTTGCACTCTGTAACAACATGGAAAACAGTCTCTCTAAAACCACAAAATGGACATTTGTTAAAAACAGCAGGATTAATAATGGACATAAAAGAATTACAGGCAATAGCACCGTGTCCAATTCTCCACTGGAGGTCGGCAGTACGTTTTTAGAGGAGGTTTGTATAAAACCCTCCACTGTGGGCCAGATCCGCTTCCTGCACCCAGTATGGTGCTCCACGCAGTGTCCTGTCCTTCAGTGCATTATTATTAATGCTATTTATAATGTTCATGTAAAGTGTTTTCTTGTCAGCTCTGTGTATAAAAAGGAGGTAGCCCACTTAAAATAAACATTTTGAAATCAGTTAAAAACAGCAGTATCCAGCCCCCGTTACTCACGCGTCTGAGAATGCAGCTGGTCACATCTCTCCACACCAAATCAGCCGGCCGGTAAGATATCTTTGTAAAAACTGTATTCTAAAGTTGGCTGTTCGGCTGGCCAGGTGGACAAGGCCCTCCTCCCTGGATAAAACAGCACCCCCTGTTGCACCATGTGTAGACCATCCCAAATAAATCTACCATTTATTTTGTATTGTGGATTGATTGTCACCGCCACCGTTAGGTACCACCCCCCCCCCCATCAACAGCAGCAGTAGCTGCACGGTCAGAGTCCGATCTCCTAACCCTGAATGGTTGTTTCCATGTAATAAAACTTGAAGGGATCCATTTGTTTCCTAAATCAGGCTAACTCCCTAAAAGATATGAGGAACCTGCAGTCTGTGTGTCCATACCTGAGTGTCTCCAGTCTCCAGAGTGGATCCTCCAGTCCAGCAGACAGCAGCTTCTCTCCTGAGGCTCCTGGATGATTGTAGCTCAGGTCCAGCTCTCTCAGATGGGAGGGGTTGGAGCTCAGAGCTGAAGCCAGAGAAACACAGCCTTCCTCTGAGACCAGACAGCTTGCCAGACTGGAACCAGGGAATATAGTAAACTGAGTGTTTTAAAAAGTCACATGAGCAGGAAAATCATACAGAGGTGGACCATCTTCATCAACATGAACAAAAAGATGGATGAAAATAATTGAACTGCTTGAAAATAAAAGCTGAACTCTGACCTGAGAGACTTCAGTTCACAGTGCGGACTCTCCAGTCCAGCAGACAGCAGCTTCACTCCTGAATCCTGCAGGTCGTTGTTACTCAGGTCCAGATCTCTCAGACTAGAGGACTGGGAGCTGAGGACTGAGGACAGAGCTGCACAGCTTCTCTCTGACAGGTTGCAGTAAGTTACCCTTGAAAGAAATTAATAAATGTGACAAAATTCCTTTAATATTAAAAGTGATTGAGTGCAAGGTTTCAATCATACAATCTCTTCTAGTTCCTTTGCCATATGCTACCATCTGTTTGTCTGTGCACGTTTGTGTTTAACAATCAGTCAGATATGTAGATAATTGAAACCATCTGTCTTAAAATACAATCTGATTTTAACCATGGTTTTGTGGTTTATTGTTTAGATCAGGGGTGGGGAAGCTCCGGCCTCCGGGCTGTATATGGATCGCGAGACCATTTGGTACGGCCCTCGAGGTAATTTATAAACACACGCAAAAAATTAAAGAAATCTCGACCGCAAATTAATTAAACAAGCGAGTGCCTGTTTTTCCTGGCCAAGGTCAGGGTCCTTGAACACAACACGAGCCTAACGTTTCATCACGTGGTATAGGTCTCGTCTGACAGGTGTGCAGTTCTGACGGAGAGCACCAGAGCGCCACTCCGGGTCTTCCACAAATTGCAGTACCCATAAGGAGCCGTACACATGCTGCAGTTCCTGCGTGGCTGTGTCTTTAGTTGAAAGCCCAGTGGTCTGTTCATCTGTCATACTGGTCATACAGTCAATAACTGTGTTGTTATTAGCATCTGGTTAGCTAGCTATATGCTAACGAATATAAGAAGCTTTTTCTACAACCAGTGAGGTAAAGGCACATCTTTATATGATCATTATAGTTATAAAACAATAAGAGAATAAAGTAAACAGGTATAAAATATTATAAGACAGTAAAAAAAAGTTGTTATTAATAAACAAGAATACAGTTTGAAAGGAGAGTGATTTGTAAAATATCCATAAAGAAAAATAAATCTGCTTCCAGTTCTGTTTCATCTGGATGTTGAGAGATGTATCCATATATCTCTTCATGTTGCTCTCAAAGTGCACCAGATTGATGCTTTCAACTTCAACATTTAAAAAAAAATCTTCCCTGGGGAGCATACCCCCCGGACCCCCCTAGAGGAGGTTAGGTCCCCCCCCACTTAAATCATGTTCACATGGATAGGAAACTAAATAGCACACATTTTGTGTCCATATCTTTCTGTTTGGGTGGTCATGCCACACCGTGCACGTGCATGCGCGAGTCATGGTGAGATGTCTGGATTCAGAGGTTGCTTTTTCTTTGCACAGCATGAAGGAAAGGCCAAATGAATGGGCTGTGATTTTAGTTTTTTTAAGCAAAGATCAATAATTTGTACGGCCCTCGGAGGATGTTTTTTAAAAAATTGAAATGGCCCTTGAGAGGAAAAAGGTTCCCCACCCCTGTTTTAGATGAAGAAGAAAAACAACATGCCAAAGGGAAATCGAAATATATCATTATTGTATTTTGATAGAACTGGAAATGAGTGGATATAAATGGCTGAACAAAACCACTCTGACAGTTAACATATCAGCTGAACTCTGACCTGAGAGTCTCCAGTTCACAGTGTGGACTCTCCAGTCCAGCAGAAAGCAGCTTCACTCCTGAATCCTGCAGGTCGTTGTTACTCAGGTCCAGATCTCTCAGACTAGAGGACTGGGAGCTGAGGACTGAGGACAGAGCTGCACAGCTTCTCTCTGACAGGTCACAGCCAGTTAACCTTGAAATAAATTCATAAATATGACAAAATGTCTTTAATATTAAAAGTGATTGAGCACAAGGTTTCAATCACTTTTAGTTCCTTTGTCAAATTATACCATCTGTTTGTCTGTGCAAGTTTGTGTTTATCAGTCAGATACATTGAGATGTAGATAATTGACACCATCTGTCTTAAAATATAATCACAATTTGACCATGGTTCTGTTGTTTATTGTTTAGATGAAGAAGAAAAAAACAACGAGCCGAAGGGAAATTCGAAATATATTATTATTGTATTTTGATAGAACTGTAAATTAGTGGATATAAATGGCTGAACAAAACCAATCTGACAGTTAACATATCAGCTGAACTCTGACCTGAGAGTCTCCAGTTCACAGTGTGGACTCTCCAGTCCAGCAGACAGCAGCTTCACTCCTGAATCCTGCAGGTCGTTGTTACTCAGGTCCAGATCTCTCAGACTAGAGGACTGGGAGCTGAGGACTGAGGACAGAGCTGCAAAGCTTCTCTCTGACAGGTTACAGTCACTCAGCCTGGGGAAAGATCAGATATTAACAAAGCAAAATATTGATTTATCTTATTTGTTGTTTTTATCTCCACTTACAGAGCTTTCCTGGAGGCTTTGACCACTGGCAGCAGCCTCAGAAGAGCCTCCTCTGAAGCAGAGTATTTCTTCAGGTCAAACACGTCCAGATCTTCTTCTGATGACAGTAAGATGAAGACCAGAGCTGACCACTGAGCAGGAGACAGATCCTCTGTGGAGAGACTTCCTGAACTCAGGTACTGTTGGATCTGCTCCACCAGAGAACGATCATTCAGTTCATTCAGACAGTGGAACAGGTTGATGCTTCTCTCTGGAGACGGGTTCTTTCCTATCTTTTCCTTGATGTATTCAACTGTTTCCTGTTTGGACACACTTCCTATCTGTGGTGTCAGCAAACCTCGTAGGAGAATCTGATTGGTCTGCAGTGAAAGACCCAGGAGGAAGCGAAGGAACAAGTCCAGGTGTCCGTTTGGACTCCGTAAGGCCTGGTCCACAGCACTCTGGTAGAGATGTGTTAGTTTAGGTTTGGATCTGAACACTTTAAGCAGCCGGGAGTTTGTTGGTTCTTCTGCCAGCAGGTTGACTCCAGACTTGATGAAGGTCAGATGGACATGAAGAGCAGCCAGAAACTCCTGAACGCTCAGATGGACGAAGCAGAACACCTTGTCCTTCTGGTACAGTCCTCTCTCCTCTCTAAAGACCTGTGTGAACACTCCTGAGTACACTGAGGCTGCTCTGATATCGATGCCACACTCTGTCAGGTCGGACTCATAGAAGATCAGGTTGCCTTTCAGCAGCTGCTCAAAAGCCAGTTTTCCCAGAGACTTGATCATCTTCCTGCTCTTTTTGTTCCAGTGTGGATCCGTCTCAGCTCCTCCATCATACTTGATGTTCTTCACTTTGGACTGAACCACCAGGAAGTGGATGTACATCTCAGTCAGGGTCTTGGGCAGCTCTCCTCCCTCTCTGGTTTTCAACACCTCCTCCAGAACTGAAGCAGAGATCCAGCAGAAGACTGGGATGTGGCACATGATGTGGAGGCTTCGTGAGGTCTTGATGTGGGAGATGATGGTGCCGGCCTGCTCCTGATCTCTGAATCTCTTCCTGAAGTACTCCTCCTTCTGTGGGTCAGTGAACCCTCGGACCTCTGTCACCATGTCCACACACTCAGGAGGGATCTGATTGGCTGCTGCAGGTCGTGTGGTTATCCAGAGGCGAGCAGAGGGAAGCAGCTTCCCCCTGATGAGGTTTGTCAGCAGCACATCCACTGAGGTGGACTCTGTGACATCAGTCAGGATCTCAGTGTTGAGGAAGTCCAGAGGAAGTCGACACTCATCCAGACCGTCAAAGATGAACACGACCGGGAACTGATCAAACCTGCAGATTCCTGCGTCTCTGGTTTCAGAGAAGAAGTGATGAACAAGTTCCACCAAGCTGTACTTGTTCTCTCTCACCACATTCAGCTCTCTGAAGGTGAATGGAAATGTGAACAGGATGTCCTGGTTGGCTTTGCCTTCAGCCCAGTCCAGAGTGAACTTCTGTGTTAAGACTGTTTTCCCAATGCCAGCCACTCCCTTTGTCAGCACTGCTCTGATTGGTGCATCTCTTCCAGGTGAGGCTTTAAAGAGGTCTTCTTGTCTGATGGTTGTTTCTGGTCTGTCTGGTTTCCTGGATGCTGTTTCAATCTGTCTGACCTCATGTTCAGCATTGACCTCTGCAGACCCCCCCTCTGTGATGTAGAGCTCTGTGTAGATCTGGTTCAGAAGGGTTGGGTTTCCTGCTTTAGCAATGCCCTCAAACACACACTGGAACCTCTCCTTCAGGGTGGATTTAAGTTTACGTTTGCAAACTCGAGCATTAGTTTCTGAAAAGACAAATAAACCCTTTTTCAACCAACAAAACGAAAGAGCGCAACTGCAATATCGGAAGCTGCAATCATCATTGTGGCTACACACAGATGAGTGAGTTATAAGTAACTTATTCTGGATTAATTCTCTGTAAAGTAGTGAGATTTTAGGATGTGTGACAAATTCGAAGTAAATTAGGGGAGGGTAAGCCTATTTGTTATAGCACCACCACATTTTTAATTGGGGTCATATTTTATATGAAGCATTTCCACATCATTTCGGGTTATGGTTCCAAGTTTAATGTCCCCTAGGGATTTTACAGCTGACAGCAAGTGTAGCAAAAACAGTTACCCTATGGGTTGGGCTTAACCTGTTAAGTCCGAGGGTTACAGCCGCTGTTACCTTGTGCCCTTAACTATGGTTGTGTGTGTGTATGTAAATGAGCTGTGCGGTTCCTCTGCTGTCAGTGGCCGTACCGACCTCGTAACATCCACGGTGATTGGACGGACGTCACCCAATCCCCGCCCGCTTCTGCCACGTCATCCGGGGGAGGAGCATAAAGGCCGGACACGGACACCATTCGGGAGGCTCTGTATTTTGGGACAGACGCCTCAAGCCTCGCATTGTGACATTGCCATATTCTGTGATTCCTTAGACTGCCTAGCAGTGTGTATTCTGTAGGGTTCTGTACGAGCACACTGATTAGCAGTGTGTCATAGTATTCTGGGTTTAGTGTAGGGTTTGTGTGTGTGTATTGCGTAGATCCAGGTTGCTTAGCTCCTGTAGAACCGCATTTAGATTATTGACATTGTGAAACAGTTTAGACCCAGGTTAGCTTAGCGCCTGTAGATCAGCATTTGTGAAACTATTGCTTAGACCCCGGTGATTAGCACCGGTTGATCAGCAACAGCTGTGTTTCCACACAGCTTCCTTTTGTTTAGTGTTTTGTTCCACTTTAGAAGTGAGGTACGTTCTTTCTTTTGTAGCATACTGTGCAACTCTCTTTTGGAGTCCTTTGTTGTTAAACCGTAACAGTTTAGTCCGTTGTTGGTCCAGGCTGTTTGTGTGGATATTATTGTGTTCAAAGTTTTGGTTACAAATAAACCACCGGTAACAATTACCAATTCCAAACTGGTCGTGTCGTGTCCCTTTGTACCCCTAGCCAAGAGGGAACGTAACACCGAGAGTCCCCGGTACCGGGGCCCTCCCTCAACATCTTGCAGGAAACAGTGTCTGAGGGCATCTTAACATTTAATAAACTATGAATGTTTTATATCCATGTAACGGGAAGAAACTCATCTAACTGATCATTTTAATTAATTTTTCCAAAAAAAAAACACAATGCTAACGCTGAGCCTCTGAATTAGCAACGAGCGAAAAATGCTAACAGAATACTGCACCGAAACTCACTCATAAAACCTTATTATTTATCCTTTCTGCACATCCAACCCAACGATTCACATCGTGAGATGACACAGAATCGATGGGTATCTACATTACCACTCAATGATACGAACTCGTGGCGATAATAACAAGAACAGACTCAAAACATGTAGCGCTAGGTAGCTAAAAACGCTAACATGGCTTACCTGTGTCGTTGTCTGGTCAAAAGTGGTCTTCAATGGCATTACAACGATAACAACGCTGCTGAAGTTAATCCAGAGGTTCATCCAATGTGTCTGTGTCCCTTTGAAATGATTTCTGATAATCCATAAGCAATAAACCTCCTTTTCTGTTTCCAGATGTCAGAGCAAGAGATAGGTTCACTCTGATGCAAACCTGCATGCGCAAAGCCCCCACCTTTTTTTTTATTACCATGTGTGTGTGTGGGGAGATTCCCCTTCGATTACATTGGCTCTAGCGGTTATAAAGAGATGTAATTCGTGAAAATCGACCAATGGGTTCCAGAGAAAGGGTAAAACCCCCATTTCCACCCAAATGACCCCAGAAGTGGGTTTTCTTTGCTAAACCTCTCTAAAAAGGTCAAATATCACTTGTTTTGCATCAATCTTGATACAGGGTACTTATTATATGTTGTACTTTGGATTACTAAAGCTTTTAGTCTACCTTAAGGTTAGTTTGCACTATAAGTAAAAAATAATTTTTGGACGGACACTATAATTTACAGTTTTTTACCATGTTCAATCTGAATTTTCTTTAAAATAAAAAAATATCTATATTGATTCTGACTTTTCTACATCCAACTCACAGGTTTATCATTACTTTGAGAAAAAAGATTATTAATTTAATCCTTTTAGAAGGGAAGATATGGTCATTTGTTCTGGGAATGTCATTTTTCGAGCCTGAGACCTGAAAAACAGGTTAAAATACACGGCTCAGACTATTTCCAAACACATCCTGAGGAGACACCCACAAACATTATTTAAGATTGGACAAGTCGTTAACGTGTTGTGTCTATATCAGAGATGGGGACTCGAGTCTGTGACTCGGACTCGAGTCACACTTAAATCGCACACACAGAGACTTCAGACTTGACTTGGACTCCTGCTCAAAAGACTTCGGACTCGACTTGGACTCGTGTTTTGGGACTCGTGAACAATCATTGTGTTTTCTATTTTTGGCGTATTAAAGGTGGGGTAGGTAAGTTTGAGAAACCGGCTCGAGATCGCTAGAATTTGAAAATACACAACCGGAGAAAATCTGCCACTTCCTCACAGAGCCCCTCCTCCAACACACACGAACGCGCACATGACCAATGAGGGCACGAGATAAATTTGTGCCCCGATGGAAGGCTGACAGGCAGGTAGGCCATCCAGTTACTTTAGCCGGGCCGGCTATCGGGATGTTAAGAGCATTCCATGGAATATAACAACAAGTGTATCTCGAGCCGGTTTCTCAAACTTACCTACCCCACCTTTAACATTAACATCATGGTAACACCATGGCGACCGGCGGCACACCTGCAGCTGTACCGCTTGTAATTAGGTTCAACTATAAAAAACTTCGAACAAAACGCCGGCGGCACCAACAAAAGGAGCGCACACTGCAAAGTCTGCAATATTAAAATCAAGGATGCTGGTGCAACAACGTCAAATGTCATCAGGCACTTGAAAACTCACCCGGAGAGGTCAGTCACATTAACGCATATGGACGGTTAGCAAACATGTTTAGCTCAGCATCAGCTATGTAATGTTAACTTAGCTTGCTACTAGCTTTGTAACTGAATATTTGAAAAGATGAGTGAATGTTTGCTTGTCACACTTGTTTGCGTTGAGTGGCGTTGACATCCAACTCTTGACATGACATAAAAAAGGTCGGTAACGTTAATCATTACGTTCCGCTGCCACCATCTACTGGCTAACGTTAAACGTAGAAAAATACATAGTTACATACATAAATACATCTGTCGGTTTATAGGCAGGTTACAGGTTTATTGTTGACCACGTAACGTTAATGTTACAGGTTTATCAGGTTACCATTACACTGGGTTTGAGTGAGAGGATAGAGGAATATGTTTATTTATAGTAGACTTAAAAGATGTCATTAGAGACCCAGTGTAATTAAACAATACGGTTGCAGAGGTCAAACTGGCCAAATGGCTAGCCTAGTGAATGTTGAAATGTTACCAGCCACTCAATAGATTGCCATTGTTATTTGTGGCTGGTGCGTGCAACATACAGAACCAGCCACGTGCATGATTTACCAGCATGTGGCTGGTAAATGGTGTTAATGGTAGATATCTCTTTTGGAACAGGTCATGTTTTAATATCACCAGTTCAGTATATTTCAGATAATATTGCAGCAATAGTTTTTTAGTTGCAAATGGCACAGAACAAACGTTTACTTTGAAGTACTTTTAACACAGTTTCCCTGCGGGGGATTAATAAAGTATTTGTGATACTGATTTCTGATTCTGAAGTGTTTTGCTTATAAGTTGTTTGCATTTAGCTAAAGTGTGATGTTTTTCCTCACATTGCAATAGCCTGTTTAAAGTGATCATATAACAACTAATCAGTACTGATACTGTATGCTCATAGATATAGGAGTGATAATAATACAGTACATGCTTTGAATGTCTTAGATATAGCTGTGCAGTATTCTTAACAGACTGGATAGCAGCAGACAATAGAAGGCTTATTACAACCAGAAGAGACATGAGACTTTTATTTTCTAGAGACTTGAGACTTGACTTGGACTCGTGACCAAAGACTTGAGACTTGATCAAGTCTCACCCCACAAAGACTTGAGACTTGACTTGGACTCGTGACCAAAGACTTGAGACTTGACTTGGACTTGCAAAAAAAGACTTGTGAACATCTCTGGTGTGTATACATCGATGCTATTGTCCAAGAGGCTTTGTTGTAGAGCACATTAAGCTTGAAATGTTGGTCGAATTTCAGACTGAGGATTTTAGGGGTGTGGCTTTTCTTAATATGCATTTTCGTAAGGTAATTACTGCGCCACCATTCAACCAAATAGGGTCATATTTCTTGAGGAAAATGTGCATGTCGTTTCCAATAATGTGGTCAATATCTGACATATATTTGTGCATTATATTAACAGCAACGTTTTGGAATGTAAAACCCTCTCCATCATTATCATCATCATCATATTTCCAATGTGTTAAACCCTCTTACTGCTCTGCAGACGCTCAGCCAGCTCCTCCTGCTTCATGCTCCTCAGGAAGTGCAGGGTGATGTTCAGAAATGCCTCTCTGCTGCTCCTCCTCTGCTCTTCATCCTCACTGTCCAACACCTCCTCATCCTCCCTCTGACTCTCTAAGCTTTCTGGGTAATCTGAACTCAGGACTCTCTGGATCTTCTTCAGCTCGTCCTCCACAAATCCAACAATGTTTTCCTGGAGCAGCTGGAACAGAATAAGTTGTAGAGTTGAACTGGTAGAAGTCAACATCAGATCATGTGTGAGACAGAAAGCCTGACTATCTGCAGCCTGGACTCTGGATCACAATGCTGCTTCACGACTGAGTGAGATTCTTCTTTTGGAAATTGTTGAACATTTTGAGCACCAGGGAATATGTTTGGAAGTAAACAAAATGGCAGCCAGTTGGTGTTTTCTATATTATTAGTTATTGAATTTAGTTTGTAGATAGCAAAAATAGCGTGTTTTTGCATTTACGCACCATGAATATGGAGTCCAGCTGGACAGACTGATTAATGGGAACCTCTGAATTCTGTCGATAAGCTCTGTGGAGAGGATGGTTTGAACATATACAGAGTTACATGTGCTGTTAGTGGATCCTTCTTCAAACAGGACACACGATTAAAAAAGACAAATATGCTTATTACAAATCTTTCTGGTTAAAATGTGATATAACATTTAGCGATTTATACAAAAATATATTTACTTGTTAAAGTGCTTTCGTTGAATCTTGCTATAAAACGTTCTGAAGTGGTCACTCTTCATGGATACACAGTTGGATGTTTTATGGACTGCCCTCTGTTCTTTGATCCTGATAGAACCAAAAGAACACTGATGAATGTGATGGACATAAAACGCTGCTGAGAAAACTGTTGGATTACAAAAGATTTGAATCGCAAACAACAAACATAACCTATAGTTTTATTCTTACCTTAGACGATCAGAGTGCTTTTCGTCTGTAAACCCAATAGGTTTACCCATAGACCAGTCACTCTTCATGGACACACAGCTGGGTCCAGATTGCTCATGGTTGATACTAATATAAACACAGACACTGATCAATGCAAATGTACACTACATTTCTGCAGGATATAATATTGCCTTTTTAACGTTTTGATACTATCTGATAACTGATCACAACAAGGGAGAACGTCTAGTTTACATTCTTACCTTGGACCATCAGAGTGCTTTCCATCTCTGAACCCAATAGGTTTGCCCATAGACCGGTCACTCTTCATGGAAACACAGCTGGGTTCAGGCCCAGATCCAGTTTCCTCACGTTTGATCCTAATAGAATCACAAACACTGATTATGGTACACTGAAATTCAGTTAAAATTCAGATGTCTAATTATTTTAATACTTATAACAACAATTTAGATAATGTATTACTTTGGATCAGAGTGGTGTCCATCTTTCAACGCAATAGGATCCATAGAGGAGTCACTCTTAGACACACAGCTGGGTCCAGGTTTCCAATGTTTGATCCTGATAGAAATACAAACATGGATTAACACATTATGTCCACTCACTGTACATTCTGCTGGTGATGATGTTGATGTCAGAATGTTTAAATACTGATAACAACAGACTTGAATGTAAACCTATTGAGAGCTGACCTGTGCTAAAAGCTCTCCAGTGAAACCAGGTCAGAGTCCGTGTTTGAAGGTGGCTGTATCTTAGCCCTTCACACTTCCTCCATGCACTCAACTTCAGAGTGTTAAGAGTTAAACAACTAAAACACCTCAGTGACGTCAACAGAGTTGTCGGACAGGTTTAGACACGCCCTGTATTCTTTACTGATCATGTGATCCAAGAAAACAATCAAACTGCTGCTCTTTCTACTCAAGAAACACTGAATCTTTCTAAAATCACTCCTCTTTAACTCTTTGACTTTGAGAGAGAAATGATACACACTACTTCAAACAGACATTAAGAATCAGCTTCAAGAGTCATGTGACCTGTCCAGGTGAACAGTGACTCAGCACAATGTGATCAGAGTGATCCTGATGATGGAGCAGATTCGTCTGGGAGGATTCTCACCTGCTGAACTCACTTCAGGTCCACTTCCAGACCCTCTGCAGCTTCCTGTGTGGAGGACACTCTGCTCATGTGTTCCTCTGCAGTCCTGTGTCTGCCTGCATCTGATCCGAGGACACTGTCACATCCTCATAACTCCTGATATTAAAAACACTTCAGAGTCACGTGAAAACCGGTGCAACAAGTATCAGAAACATTGAGAGGTGTTGAGTTCCACTAACTGTCCACTAGATGGTGCTAGCTCACAGATTAATGCATTAATGATCTGTCCTGACATGTGATGAAGCAGCAGTGTGGATCACATGGCAGTGAATGGTAAAAAAACAACTTGTAATTGGAATGGAAAACAAAAAACCTATGTGGTTATGTTTTTAAAAAAAAGAAATGTTGGCTGATTCAAAAGGTATTTGTTTCTTTCTCCTCACAAAGTAAATGATCACAATATAACACAAAGGTAACTTTTTAAACCCAGACTCAAACACATACATTTGGACAATGACACAAGAAGTCTGTTTCAGTCTCATTGCATTGATTGTGTTAAATATGCAACACATGACAGGGATAAGGTCAATTCTCTTGTGATCAATGTTTCATGTCTTCACTTGAATTATTCCACAAACAATAGCTGTAATTCATAAAGTCGACCAGCAGATGTCAGCATTTAGACTCCATCAAACACTTAGAGATACTAAATATATGGCACTGTGCACAGAGGGTGCTGTTTGCTGCACAGATTGTAAAGTCCCTGGAGGTATCTTCAGATTTTTAAATATAGGGCTAACTAATTATTTTGGACGATAGTTTTAACTTAAAAGGTCTAATAGCCATTGTTATGCATTTTAGCTGCATCCATGTGGAGCCCCGTGTGAGGCAAAGTACTTTTGGTCAATGTTTTAAATGTTGCATTATTAATTTTAGCATAATCTTTGGTCAAAACAAAATGTATGATTCCACTCCTGCACCAGCCAAAGCAATGTTATCATGAAGGTGGTATTTGAGTACATTTTACATTTGTTTTATATTTGGCTGGACCTTTGTAACAAACATGGAATCCTTTAGCAGTCTCCTATTTGTGTGATCATTGACAATGTTGATTTGCCTTTAAACCTTCATTAAAAACAATAACAATTACTACAGAAAGTATTATAAGCTTTTCCTCTTTGTTATGAATGAAACCAACTGTGACAGTAAAGGCACAATCAGTGAAGCCTCGTCCACCACCAGCATTTACACCACAGGACAGGAAGTGACCTCCTCCTACAGAGAACACAGAGACACATCCTCTCAGGACCATAACTGTCTGCACAACATATCAGAACCCTCCTCAAATAATGTGTGTGACTTCTCAGTCTTCAGGCTCCCGTCATCATATCTGTATTTCCATAAAACTAAGTGGTATCACATCTTGTGAGTCAGACCTGAACTTCTTGCTGTTTTCGGGCCTTTTTTTTATTTTCCTTGAAGCTGACATGAATGATTACTGCTGCTTGATGCAGACGTGGCTGTCACACCAACACAGTCTCACTCCCTGAACGTCCAGGAGCGACGCTTGGTCAGGGTCCCGTGGCGTGCAGTGATGCTCCTAGGCTCCTTCAGCTTCATATACGGACGCAAAGAGCTTTCAACTGATTGCAATGTATTCCCATCGGCGGCGGGATTTGACGCTCATGGAAGCACGGCATCGGTCCATGTCGGCTGCCCTTAAAGGCAATGTGAGCGTCCATTCCCATTGGATAACGGAACATTTTACACCCGGAAGTAAGTATTCTCTTTACTGTCGATTGATTTTACAGTGATATCTGCACTACTCATCGACTCAAACACAACAGATTATACCTGTTAATTACACACAATGTTATGCATGCCCACAGCACCTCACGGGAACGCGCACAGCGTAAAGCAAATACTTTCGTTGACAAAGTTAGGTTTGGAAACGATATCATTTCCTTTTGGCATGCATAACACGGCATAATACCGGAGCCCAGCTGCGGGGAAACTTTGGCGCTGTTCGGAGTTTGTTCTAATCCGTCAAAATGACGGACGGCTTTCTGATTTTTCCGTCATTGTTAAAAAAAATCCGTCATAGACGGAAAATATTCGGTTAACGCGACCTCTGGTATGGAGTCAGATCAGTCTCAATGTTAATAAATGCTCACAGAAGGATTCACAAATGTATTTTGCGATTTATATATAAATGACTCTCCACAACAATATCTCTCAATGCACTCACATATTTATTGTTGTATATAAATGTACAAAAAATGGGCATTTAAACTGCTTTTTATAAATTCAAACCACCTGTTAAAACGCACCAGAATACAGGAAATATATTTTTTTTCGTGGTGGGCGACCCCCACACCCCCCGTTAAAAATGCCCTTCCCACATTCAGGATGCTTCCATGTTGTTACTCAATAAGACCTTGTGTAACCTTTAATAACAATACCTGTGTTTATGACACATGATTTACAGAAATAAATACTTTGTTATTAATTATTAAATCTGCTGGAAGCAAATGAAGCTCCAGCTCATTTCAGCAAGTTAAACTACAAAGAGTGCATTCAACTAAAGTGAGAATGTTCGTTTGGATATTTGTTTTGGGAAATGAAGCAGAATTATTAAAACAGCACGACGACACGATGAATGGAAACCTTCCAGAGAGTTTGTGGCCATTAAGATCTGATGCGGGAAAATGACTCAGCGATACTGTTGTCTTTTCTTTGGGAATCGTAAAAAGTCATCAGTCATCGAGAATAAAATGTTTTACAGGAAGTCATTCACGGTTCTTTATAAAAGTCAATATGTTACCTTGTTTTATTTTCTTTGGGAATCATAAAAAGTCAAGTAGGCATCTTATCAGTCATTAGCTGTACAATGAAAGGATACATCTTTTAGTGGAAGTAGGTCACTATTGTTTACAACAATACATATTTCACCTCCTTAGTCTGGAGCGTATGATCTGTTATCTGCTCTTCCTTCAGTCAGATCTGCACTGCATTGATTCCCAACACTCCACTTAAACAACATCATAAATCCCAATCTGAACATAATGTTGCAGGTTTTATCACTCTTTATTCCTCTGATAACTCGAGTTCGTTGTTTATCTTGAACAGCAGGAAAGAATAAAGCATCGCGGTGGGAAGGCGTATCGTGTGAAGCCAAAGAAAGATAATTAGATCAGATTTAAAGTGAGCTCCTGGCAGCATTTAGAATTTGCAGCGTTTCATCTACAGTTGCAACCAAAACAATTCACCCCCCATTGCACATGAGGTTTACTGAACAATGTTTTGAACGTTTGTCAGCTGTTTGCAATAAACACATTTGAGAAGAACTGTTTCAACAGAAAATGTTGCTTCCCATGACTGCAGTCTCAAAGTGATTGAACCCCCTGTCTCAAGCACACCGGGGGGAAGGGATCAAGGCTCCATGAGTTCAGGTGTGCTTGAGACAGAACACATGCATACCTGGGTTGTTGTCGATTGCATTTTATAAATATGGTCAAAGTCAAAGGAATCGTCCAAAGGTTCAGAGAAGAGATCATTGCCTTGAACGAACAGGGACAAGGATCAAAAGATAGCACAAGTGATGCTCTTAGTGACTGAGCTGGAGCCATGAGGAACGCACTAAGATCCCTCAGGAGCGCTGCCACAAGCTGGTGTCTGGGTGTGCATCAAAGCAGCAAAAGGGTGCTCTGCTAAGTACTGAGGATGCTTGTCATGAAGGGCTTGAATCATGTTGAGACTGCAGTTTCATTAAAGTAGTATTTTCTGTTTGGATAAAAACACTTGATATTAGTTTCATTGAAGTACTTTGTGTTCTTTGATTATTGCAAACAGCTGAACAAAGTTACATTCAGCCAATCAGCAATGGGGGTTACATACTTGTGATTGTAACTGCAGCGCTTTGTTTATTTATGTTTGGTCAATTGGTGAAGATGTTTCTTCATCTGCATGGCCCTTTCTCATTTCATCAAATCCCCTCCTCGACTTCTCGACTCCTCGACTTCTCGACTCCTCGACTCCTCGACTCCTCGACTCCTCAACTCCTCGACTCCTCGACTCCTCGACTCCTCGACTCCGACAACGAAATTACAATGAACTCAAGGTGCCAACACGCAACAACAAGACAATATGAAAACAACAAGACAATATGAAAACAACAAGACAATATGAAAACCAGAAATGGGACTTAAATAGACACGATAGGGAATATGTACATAAATAAATAATAATTTAAATGACACGATTACATGGTTTTTAAACTGCAGTGCGTTTCTCCTGGTGGACATGTGTTGGCTGTTGTTGTGTTTTGCGCCTGTCAGCCTCCATAGGAATAAGGTTGACTTTAAAAAGCGCATCAAATACAAGTGAGACATTTTGTGGGATTTCTTTGTGGGGGAAATCAGAAGCAGAATCACTCAAACAGCTCGATGACTTGATGGTGGAAAGCTTCCCAGAGAGTTTGTGGCTAAGATCTAATGCGGGAAAATGACTCAGCGATACTGTTTTCTTTTGGGAATCATAAAAAGTCATCAGTCATCTAGAATAACACGTTTTACAGGAAGTCATTCACTGTTCTTTATGAAAGTAAATAAGTGACCTTGAAAGTCATTTCTCCCTCATCTGTTATCTCTGTCTTCAGTCAGAGAGGTCAGCACGCCTTGCGTTTCCCAACACTCCCTTTAACTCTGCATCATAAATCTGAATCTAATCCAGCAACTTCCTTTTGTTTCATTGTAATCTCTCGGATTACTGTAGTTGTTGTTACTTTATTTTACAATTCTCAGCACGGAGCATTGTCCCAGCTGCAGCTGAGCAGCCTCTGAGAAAACTCTGACACGCCTTTACAACATTTAAAGCTCACAGAGAGTGAGAGCTTTGGGAACAGCATGATTTGAATTCTGTGTGCTTAGTGGCGTTGGTGGAACACAGATTCAGATAAGTAGAAGTACTAATACCACACTGTCAAATACTCCATTACAAAGAAAAAGGTGCTTCATCGAGGATGGTACTGAAGACAACGACATGAAGTCTGATCAGGAACATGTAGTTACAGAAGAAGTCAAACAGTCATTCCAGAACAGAAATCTGCATTTTCTTCAAATACATATAAAAATTGCATTTTTAAAAGCAGCAAATCTTTACTTTTGAGACTATTATCAATACATTGTCTGTCAACCCACTCGCTGTGGAAATGAACACTTGAGGAAAGATGAATCGAGAACATCATATTTAGAAAATTCTCTTTTGTGTAAAAATCTAAATCCATAAAGTTACCAGTAACTAAAGCTGTGAAATAACGGAAGTACAATGTTTCACTTTTGATGGTAGTGCAGTAGAATATAAAGAGAAGCAGAAAGAAAATACTCAATTCCAATACCTCAAATGTGTACTTAAGTACAGTCCTTGAGTAAATGTACTTAGTTACTTTCCACAGCTGCTGAATGGCAAGCAGAGAAAGATGAAACCCAAACTGAACATGTGGAGGCTTTTTTGATCCAGCTCTTTCACTTTAGATGATTTCAGCATTGGAACTAGATCTGCAGCAGTGTCTGCTGACGGACAGCAGGATGCTGACGGACAGCAGGATGCTGACAGACAGCAGTATGCTGACAGACAGCAGGATGCTGACAGACAGCAGGATGCTGACGGACAGCAGGATGCTGACAGACAGCAGGATGCTGACGGACAGCAGGATGCTGACAGACAGCTGTATGCTGACAGACAGCAGGATGCTGACAGACAGCAGGATGCTGACAGACAGCAGGATGCTGACGGACAGCAGGATGCTGACAGACAGCAGGATGCTGACAGACAGCAGGATGCTGACAGACAGCAGGATGCTGACAGACAGCAGGATGCTGACAGACAGCAGGATGCTGACAGACAGCAGGATGCTGACAGACAGCAGGATGCTGGTGGAGCGCATTCAAACCAAAGGATTATTATGATCAGTATTGGGTTCCTGATAGAAGTTAAACACAAGATCAAAAGTGTGCAGATAAGTCCTGACTATGGCTTTATTCAGATGCACTCACATCCCTGACACATTTCTCTGGGTTCTATATAGCGTTGCACAATTCAGGGAATTTTCAACGATGGAAACTTTCCATGGGAATTAACGGGAATTTTCAAAATGGAAGGTCGACTCTTCAAAGGGAACTTACAGAGAGTTGCGGAAAGTATGTTTTAGCATAATCTTGACTAAAACAAACAGATGCCATTCAAGTAAGGCAAGGCAAGGCAGGGCAAGGCAAGCAAGGCAAGGCAAGGCAAGGCAAGGCAAGGCAAGGCAAGGCAAGGCAAGGCAAGGCAAGGCAAGGCAAGGCAAGGCAAGGCAAGGCAAGGCAAGGCAAGGCAAGGCAAGGCAAGGCAAGGCAAGGCAAGGCAAGGCAAGGCAAGGCAAGGCCAGGCCAGGCCAGGCCAGGCAAGGCAAGGCAAGGCAAGGCAAGGCAAGGCAAGGCAAGGCAAGGCAGGGCAGGCAAGGCAAGGCAAGGCAAGGCAAGGCAAGGCAAGGCAAGGCAAGGCAAGGCAAGGCAAGGCAAGGCAAGGCAAGGCAAGGCAAGGCAAGGCAAGGCAAGGCAAGGCAAGGCAAGGCAAGGCAAGGCAGGGCAAGGCAGGACAAAGCAAGGCAAGGCAAGGCAAGGCAAGGCAAGGCAAGGCAAGGCAAGGCAAGGCAAGGCAAGGCACAGAGCCTCCTCAACAAGGCTAGACAGTGACACTGCAGAGGAAGAGGAAGAGTGTGATGATGAAGAGGCCCAGGCAGAGCCCGTTGACTGAAAGGGTTTAGTCAAAATGCAGAGGATTGCTTGAAGGGAGATTTGCATGTTGAATGGGACTTTGTGGGGGTTTTCATTTTTTAATGAGTGGGGTTGGGGGGGATGAGTAATATTTAACTCAGCATTCCTGTTTTCGTTCTTCAATGAAAAATTAATTGTTCAATAAAATAATTAAAACTTGTTCTGTTCTACTTCAAAAAAAAGTTTAAAAAAAAAAGGTTTAATTTTGCATCGAATATTTCCAAAATTCCCAGCTTAACTTCCCATGGAAACTTCCCGGAAATGTTCCTCCCCTAGTGTATACCATCTCTAGAGGCACAACTTTTTCTCGAAGTTCGTACGTGAACACATTTTCATTTTGCTACTAAAGTCTGTTTTTCTTCCCCTGATTCCTGTTTCTTTGTAGCTGAGCCCAACGTCTCTAGTTGGTTCAGTTTGTCGGTCAGTCAACACACATGTACCTACCGACCCAGTGCCACAGTCTGCGTACAAAAGACACGACTTTGGAAATGCGTAAAATAGATACGCAGAAGTCCAATTTTGCGTGCATATGATACTCCCACGTTACGTTTGTTATGAGCGTATCTGAAAGACGTTTATTCTCTACATATCTTTGCTTATAGTCTTGCTTGTAATAATGATAATAGTCATTTATAAATATCATTTTAGAGCACACCTTTGAAATCGACGATCGGGCTCGATATATGGTTAAATTAAAATCAGTCGGCGAGGCAGAACATAATAGTTGTATCATGCCAACAAGCTGCTGTGTCGTTTATTGCACCTTGTAGTGCCGAGAGATAGGAGGCGGTGCAATGGAGGCACAAAGCTGGCTTTAATGAGCAGCAGACATTCAGATGCTGTCGGGTCGCAGCCCGGGAAGAAGAGACAGAAGCCAGGAGGGCACACAATATATATAGAGGGCAACACAGTTCCGTGGTGAATGATGTCAACCAGTGTTCACTACAACCTCAAACATTAAAACAAATCCAGAGTTACGTGTTTCTGAACTTCCTCTAAGAACAAAGGACAGTAACAGAAGAGCTCTGTGGCTTCAGGCTTGATCGCCGTTCAAATGACAGTTTGAATGATCTCGATGGGAATGGTTAGCGTATCATATGCACGCAAAATCGGACTTCTGCGTATCTATTTTACGCATTTCCAAAGTCGTGTCATTTGTACGCAGACTGTGAGACTGGGTCGGTACCTACAGGAAGCTCCATTTAGAAAAGAGTGAGGGGGTAGAGAACTCCTGGCCTTGGGACACTGGTAAAAGGAACATTCCCAGCAGCCAGACTTCAGAGGACACCCTGCCTCTACTTGTATCAGAAGGAAGTATTATTGTGTGTTCATAAATGTGTGTGAGCTCTTAAGAAACAGACAATAAAACACGATATTCTTCCATCAATGATTGAGGTAATGATGTGAAGAAAGACAAGCCGCTGGAGCCTTACAGGAACCACCAACAGACTTTAGACTTGTAGCTCTTGATGGGGGGGGGGGGGGGGGCATTATGAAGAGGTAGTTTGATTGCTGCAAAACTAAGTTCAAGATCTGCCATTAAAAAGCCTAAATCTACTGAACATCAAAAGACAGCATTGTGCGGAATGCTTTTGCAATACTATGTGTAATATGTGGTCGTGCCAATAAAGCCCCTTTGTATTGTAATGTATTGTATTTTAGTTGTTCAAAATGAATCCTAAATACAAAGAACCAGGTTGGACTACTCTGCTGAGTAGGTGTCTTGGTGCTCCATAGTAGGGCTGAAACATTGGAGCTGCATCCTTTACAGCGCCACATATGAAGGCAATAATATGATGTGTGTGATGCATTAACACAGAGGCCATTCCTCCGGAGAGCACGTGATGAATACTTGTACTTTCATACACAGGACACTTCAAGTATATGTTGCTGCTTGTACTTCTGTATTTGACCTCAGTATAGTTTAGAATAGTATAGTAATTGTTCAAATATAATATCAGAGCACACACCGGACACACACACTTGGTGTGTTGGTATTGATGTCGTTAACCCATTAACCTGAGCTCACAACAACACTGCAGGGCGAACTGCTGAGCTGCTGCTGCTGTCAGGAAACAGAGTTATGGTTCATATCTTTATGGGCACACCGCATGTTCCCGCAGACAGGACTGAGTCACAGACAAACACCGGCACCTTCTGCCCTGGCCCCGCCCACATGAGCTGTGTGTGTCAGGTATAAAGGGCAGGGAGAGCTGATCCTCATCACTGCACTCAGCTGACTCCTGAAAACTCCTCCTCACATTTACCTGGCAGGTAGGACACCTGCTGTGTTTCTGTTCCTCAGTGAAGCTCGTGGTTCTGCTCTCCCTCCGGATCTTCATCGCCACTTTGTTCTTCTCCACACAGAACAACCAGTTGCTCATAACCATGAAGATTGTCGTGGTCCTCTCAGTTCTCCTCTGCTCTGCATTTGCAGGTCAGCTTTTCGACAGAACACACACACACCATCACACATGTGCTCATGACGAGTCATCAGCACATGGCTTAGTGTGCGACCTGTGGGGGGGAAGAGTAACTGGGCCCTAATGTTACTGACAGTGTTGTGTTTTCTTCTGCAGCTCCAGTTGAACACGAAGAGAAGGCTCCAGGTCAGTACTGAAGGGCTTTGCTTTGAAACACACACAGTCCTAAATGTTTCTCACAGCAACATGAATGTGATTTATCCACAGAAGCAGCGGTGGCTGCCCTGAAGGAGCAGATGGTTCCTGCACCTGGTTAGAGTCCTCTTTTATTTCAGGTTTCACCTCCTGCAATCTGACAGCCATGTTAGAAAGTGAACTAAATAATGGATCAAAACAGAACAAGATAGTTGTGTTGGATTAGAATCCAAGGACACATGTTGACATGCAGCAGTTCCCTTTGCAGGACAGAGCAGGCAACAACTACAGCTGCTCTGGTTCAGGATATCTAAGCAGCACAGGCTGAGGCTCCTGGAGAGGACCTCTGTAGAATACAGCTGTTTATACTTTCACGCTTACAGCATTATTGGAGCTGCAGACATGCTCCCATCAGCCTCAGCTGTTAGATCTATAATGTTAGTAAAATACCTTAACAGGCAAACTCAAATGGTAATCACGGTGAAAATGCATGCTGGACATCAGTATGTTAGCATTGTCGTTCTGAGCATGTTAACATGCTAACGTTAGCATGTGGGTTCATACCACCTATAGAGCCATGTCTAGTTTATCTTGTGTCCGTTTGATGATATTATGTTTTTCCGTACATCCTTAGGTTAAGTAGTTGCAATGTAGCTGATGTGAAATACTTTGTCATTGTTTCAGAGATGGAGGCCGAGATGAAGAAAGTTGAGGAAGAGTTTGTTCCAGAGGATTCTGTCCCTGTTCCCAGAGACGGTAAGCCTCACGTCCCTCTGAAGATATACTGTGTCTGCTCATTGTATTTTTACAACATTATGTTCATGAGTTATTGATCCGCGAAACTCGAATCTGTCAATAACTCAGCTCAGAGGGACGTGCATGTCCCCTCGCTCTGAGTGTTCTCTTGAGTGTTCTCTTATGTGAAACCCTTTATATACAGTCTGTGTGTGAAACCCGTGCCTATTGCCAAGCACTGATGTTATATCTTTATATTTAAGGCCAAGCTCAAAGTAAAATCGATGAACCGCTCCATTGTTGTGGTTTCTGTGTTGCCGTAGCAGCCGAACTGACCAGGAAGTACATTGAGCTAAATGAAAAGTTTTGTCCTAGGGGCTCCGTACATTATGAAGGAGGCGTGTGGTGCAGTGGGTTGTGAGTTGGTATTCGGATCAGGGGGTCACCGGTTCAAACCCCACTGCAGTCAGCATGTCGTTGTGTCCCTGAGACACTTCACCCCAAAGTGCTCCTGTGGGGATTGCCCACAGTATTGAGTATGTAAGTCGCTTTGGATAAAAGCGTCTAACAAGTAACATGTCATGTAATGTAATGAACAAAATGTGATAACGATATATAAATACTTTTGACACAATACATCTGATCACTGTGTTGACTCTCTTTCTCTGCAGCACCTGTGTTGGAGGAGGAAGCAGCACCTGAATGTAAGAACCACAAAACACTTTTAATCTTCCCTTTTTCCCCTTCATGATTGTCATGGCAAGAAATATGGTACAATTTAAAAAGAAGATTAAATAAAAGTCAAACACCTCTCCAAATATCCTGCCATATAGAGTTTGAGGACAATGAGTGAAAGCATGACTTGTTCGAAGCCCCACAGCAGTCTGTGTGCATGTTAGGCTAATAACTATAACCTGCTAGCTGTGACTCCCCTGCTAACGGTTCTATACATGAGGTCCACACAGACTGAAGCTGGCCAGTGGAGCAGCTGTGTGTGCAGCAGGCTGAACAGAGTGTGTTTCAGTCAGTGAAAGCTCTCTCTTCTCTGTGTGTCTGCAGCTCGCTTTAACTACTGTCCTGACGGCTGGTACAGCCACAACTCTCGCTGCTTCATCGTCAGCAACACTGCCAGCAACTGGTTCAATGCTGAGGTAACACTACTGCAACACTTCACTGTTAGTGAGAGCAGGCAGACGCATTGAGCTTGTATGGGGCTTTAAAAGTGTATCTGTGTTGTTCCTGTCATCTTTCATATCCATTCCATTTTTGAAGGAAGTAAATGAAGACATTCAATCACACAGCTGTTTATTTGCATATCCACAAAGAACCCTATGTGCCCCCTCTGTCCCACAGGAGCACTGCACCGGCCTGGGGGCCCACCTGGCCTCGGCCACCAACCCCAGAGAGTACGCTTTCCTGCAGGAGATCACAAAGAGATCCGGTCTGAGCAGCGCATGGCTGGGAGGCTTCAGCCTGCAGGTCTGTTTTTTAGAAAGGAATACCAGCAGCTAGTCCACATCAGGCCCAGGACCTGATCTAGAGGGGGTCCTAGATAACAGCAGAACAGATAAAGAGACTGCGACAACACCTCCTTACAGCCGTGCTCTTTGTGTTTCAGAGCCGCTGGATGTGGATTGATAGTCAGGGCTTATACTACACCAACTGGCACTCCCAGTCCTCCTCCAGCAGCTACCCCTGCATGTACTTAAACACCGGCTGTAAGTACACCTGTTTGATTTGACTGGTTACATAACACCTAGTTGTAAATGTTGCTATTGTATTAATTAGGTTTAATTAACTATATGTTAAGGTGGTGCCTGGCTCTTTGTTTAAAAAGGGCAGCATCATCAACTAATGTAAAATGTGACTGCTGCCATGTTGTAATATGTGTCTGTCCAAGCTGGGAATGTGTATATCAATAGAGTTGTGAGAGATGTGTATGTTGTACCTGGGTTCCTGTATTGTTTTCACAGAGGAGATATATGTATGTGTCCTGATAGGAGACAATGCCTAGATCATAGCGAGCATGACATTCTTTTCGTCCTTTTTGCTGATTAACTAACGTTTTCTGGATAGGAAACACAAGTGATATAACAGTGAACATTGTGGTGCATCTCTTGTTCAATCAAATATTTATTGAACACTTTTGTTTTTCCTTAACATTTCAGATGGTTGGCGTAACACCCAGTGCACCACGAGCCAGCGCTTCATCTGCTCCAAGAATCCTTTCACCTGTTAACCTACAGGCTGAACATCTGGCTCTATTTCTGTTTGAAGCCATATCTTACTGAATGTATCATCGTGTATTCTTCACTGTTCTTTAATACAAACTATAAGAATGGGATATTGTGTGATCTTTATTTGAGTGCTTGGTTTAAATGTTGTTAAAGGTGAATGGTTATTCAACTCAGAGTAAATGGACTCAACAGTCCTGGGTCACAGAGAGAAATGTAACAAAACAATTCAAATAATGTCCTGTGAACCATCTCAGAATGAATGCTATGACCCTGATGTTGGTGCTTTACAAAGTATGATAAATCACAAAAAATGAAACATTATATTTGATATGTTGCTAGGAGCTAATGGCTGCGAAACATACAGATCACAAAGGTCAGAAGTGGAGCTTGAAGCTGTTCCTCTGTGGGTATTGTGTAGACAGCTGTGTAACCTGTCTCAGGTTGTCCCAGGGTGCATCCCAAGTCTCTTCAAAAATGTTCCCATTATTATCTAAGATGTTTATATACGCCTGAACCCATTGTCCTCCCATTGGCAAGTCTTTATCCAGATGTTAATGATCTGCTAAGTGGCCTGCTGGCCTGAGGATTTTTTTTTATGTATGTATTGTGAACGCAACGCTGCCCGGTTCTCCCAATGGCCAGTCCGGGCCTGGGTGGGACACCTTGTCCAGCAGGGAGGACAGCTTGGCTGCCATTCTCCTGTCTCCCACCACCTCCACAGTGTCCAGAGGACTCCTGTCTCCCACCTCCTCCACAGTGTCCAGAGGACTCCTGTCTCCCACCTCCTCCACAGTGTCCAGAGGACTCCTGTCTCCCACCTCCTCCACAGTGTCCAGAGGACTCCTGTCTCCCACCTCCTCCACAGTGTCCAGAGAACTCCTGTCTCCCACCTCCTCCACAGTGTCCAGAGGACTCCTGTCTCCCACCTCCTCCACAGTGTCCAGAGGACTCCTGTCTCCCACCTCCTCCACAGTGTCCAGAGGACTCCTGTCTCCCACCTCCTCCCACAGTGTCCAGAGGAACTCCTGTCTCCCACCTCCTCCACAGTGTCCAGAGGACTCCTGTCTCCCACCTCCTCCACAGTGTCCAGAGGACTCCTGTCTCCCACCTCCTCCACAGTGTCCAGAGGACTCCTGTCTCCCACACCTCCACAGTGTCCAGAGGACTCCTGTCTCCCACCTCCTCCACAGTGTCCAGAGGACTCCTGTCTCCCACCTCCTCCACAGTGTCCAGAGGACTCCTGTCTCCCACCTCCTCCACAGTGTCCAGAGGACTCCTGTCTCCCACCACCACTAGAGTGTCCAGAGGACTCCTGTCTCCCACCCCCTCCACAGTGTCCAGAGGACTCCTGTCTCCCACCTCCTCCACAGTGTCCAGAGGACTCCTGTCTCCCACCCCCTCCACAGTGTCCAGAGGACTCCTGTCTCCCACCTCCTCCACAGTGTCCAGAGGACTCCTGTCTCCCACCTCCTCCACAGTGTCCAGAGGACTCCTGTCTCCCACCTCCTCCACAGTGTCCAGAGGACTCCTGTCTCCCACCTCCTCCACAGTGTCCCAGAGGACCTCCTGTCTCCCACCTCCTCCACAGTGTCCAGAGGACTCCTGTCTCCCACCTCCTCCACAGTGTCCAGAGGACTCCTGTCTCCCACCTCCTCCACAGTGTCCAGAGGACTCCTGTCTCCCACCACCACTAGAGTGTCCAGAGGACTCCTGTCTCCCACCTCCTCCACAGTGTTCCAGAGGACTCCTGTCTCCCACTACCTCCACAGTGTCCAGAGGACTCCTGTCTCCCACCTCTCCTCCACAGTGTCCAGAGGACTCCTGTCTCCCACCTCCTCCACAGTGTCCAGAGGACTCCTGTCTCCCACCTCCTCCACAGTGTCCAGAGGACTCCTGTCTCCCACCCCCCTCCACAGTGTCCAGAGGACTCCCCAGGACAGAGCTGGCCTTCCTTACCAGTCTGTTCAGTCTCTTTCTGTCAGCAACCGAGATGCTGCTTCCCCAGCAGGCCACACCAGAAAATGGCTGATGCCACAACAGAGTGAAAGAAGGTCTGAAGGAGGGCCCCCTGCCCCCCGAAAGACCTCAGTCTCCTCAGCAGAAAGAGTCTGCTCTGTCCCTTCTTGTACAGAGCAGCAGAATGTTCAGTTCAGTCCAGTTTATTGTTCAGATGAACACCCAGGTATTTGTAAGAGTTCACAATCTCAATGTCCGCTCCCTGGAAGTTCACTGGTGTCGGGGGGGGGAGTGTTAGCGCAGTCTGAAATCCACCACCAGCTCCTTGGTCTTCGCTGCGTTCAGCTGGAGGCGGTTCCTCTGGCACCAGAGGGTGAAGTCCTGCGTCAGCTCCCTGTACTCCCTGTCGTCCTCGTTGGAGATGAGGCCAACGAGGGCGCAGTCGTCAGAGATCTTCTGCAGGTGACAGGTTGCAGTGTTGTGGGTGAAGTCTGCAGTGTAGAGGGTGAAGTGAAACGGTGCCAGCACCATCCCCTGTGGGGCCCCCGTACTGCTGATGATGGTGTCTGATTGACACTCCCTGGTCCTCACGTACTGTAATATACATATACATACTGCGTATTTTTCATAGTCTTATATTTCAACAGTTTTACGACAAACTGTGACTTTTTTGACATGAAATGATTTGTTAAGATTGACAAACATCATATGTGTAATTCATGGCACAAACGGGATCGTAAGATACGTTTTCTCTCCCCTTTGACTTCAATAGATGATTTTTCAGAAATAAGGTCCCATGGACCGGAAGTAGATGGGCGTGACTTCGTCACTCTATAGGTACCATGGCTGTGGTCCAATGGTTACAAAAAAGTTCCTACGTATTTGCCTTATGTTGTTTCATGCCGACTTGTAATTGGAATGAAAATATTAAAAAAAACTAATATTTTTATTTAAAATGAATTATTTCACACGTTAACCTTCAGATACTGATGCAAAAGGTATTTGTTTCTTTCTCCTCACAAAGTAAATGATCACAATATAACACAAAGGTAACTTTTTAAACCCAGACTCAAACACAAACATGTGGACAATGACACAACAAGTCTGTTTCAGTCTCATTGCATTGATTGTGTTAAATATGCAACACATGACAGGGATAAGGTCAATTCTCTTGTGATTCAATGTTTCATGTCTTCACTTGAATTATTCCACAAACAATAGCTGTAATTCATAAAGTCGACCAGCAGATGTCAGCATTTAGACTCCATCAAACACTTAGAAATACTAAATATATGGCACTGTGCACAGAGGGGGCTGTTTGCTGCACAGATTGTAAAGTCCCTGGAGGTATCTTCAGATTTTTAAATATAGGGCTAACTAATTATTTTGGACGATAGTTTTAACTTAAAAGGTCTGATAGCCATTGTTATGCATTTTAGCTGCATCAATGTGGAGCCCCGTGTGAGGCAAAGTACTTTTGGGTACATTTTTGACAATTGTGAATGATTAATTTGAGCATAATCTTTGGTCAAAACAAAATGTAAGAATCCAATTTTATCATGAAGGTGATAGTTATTGTGTACATTTAAAAAAAAAAAAAATCATATTTAGCTGGACCTTTGTAACAAACATGGAATCCTTTAGCAGTCTCCTATTTGTGTGATCATTGACAATGTGTTTTTGCCTTTAAAACCTTCATTAAAAACAATAACAATTACTACAGAAAGTATTATAAGCTTTTCCTCTTTGTTATGAATGAAACCAACTGTGACAGTAAAGGCACAATCAGTGAAGCCTCGTCCACCACCAGCATTTACACCACAGGACAGGAAGTGACCTCCTCCTACAGAGAACACAGAGACACATCCTCTCAGGACCATAACTGTCTGTCAACTAAGTGGTATCACATCTCGTGAGTCAGACCTGAACTTCTTGGTGTTGTCGGGTCTCTTTAGAGATCTCCCTTTCAGCAGACATGAATAATTACTGCTTCTTGATGCAGACGTAACCTCGACTGGCTGTCACACCACACGCAGTTAGAACCTGATGTTTTCACAAATAACCAGATATAAATGACCAGAATTAGATTTCTCACATGATATGAATCAATCTTATGTATACCCAATTATTTTATAAATGCTATCATTGTTTTGGTCACAAAGAAACCCACCCAGGGGACCCTCACTTTGCACCCCTCTCTTTATTCTGCCATGTTTAGAGACGCTGCACCTGGCTGGAAGTTCAGGATTATTTTTTCAAGGGATACAAAAATATACTGAAAAACTCAGGCATATAATCTATTTTGTTTTCATGGATTCTCAACGGGGTCTTGATGCAGGACTGAAGTGAAAAGGTCTCGGTGCGCATTAAAACCTCTTAAGCCCCGCGGACCCGAGCTCGGGTCCGAAAATGCTATATATGTAGCAACAGTGCTATATCTGAAGTGTCATTCATGAAACTATTAATATTCCATACCCATCTGACTGGAGGAAACTTGGCTAACTGACGATACGAAAAAAAAAATGTTTTTCGAAAAAGAAGTCTCACAAGAAGCCTCTAAATGAGCCCATGTCAAAAACGGGCAATTGCTATGTCTGCTCATAACTCACAAAAACGATCATTTATAATTCATACTTTCCGCACAAACAACACATTTTCTGAAAGCTGAGATTCCACAGATTCCATGGGTATACACCCCATCACTACAGGCACAACCAGGGGCGTCGCCTGGACCTGGAAACATTCGGGGCTTAGCCCACAGTGGCGGCGCTACAGTCACATTTTCTACTGCAAGACTCCCCACACGCACATACACAATTGCGCCATCTGGTGTCACAAACAAAAAGCTTTGTTACGGCAATGGATTGTGGGAGATTCTCATAGCACGTGAGGATCTCTTGAGGGTAAGGTGCCTGTATTATCTCGGTGGACAAAATGTATGTTTTTATTTTATAAGGACAATAACGTACTGTTGTGTTTGTTTAGTTTAATGTTAATTGTTTAATGCTCACAGTCACAGCAACATGTTTTTAGTGTGACTGGCTATTTGTTTTATATGATTTATCAACGTGATCATCAATAGCTAATCTGAGCACCAGAACCCAGCTCACG